ATTTGGGATCAACTCTAGAAGTCACCTCCCCACTCTGTGCCCATCACCCCGAGAATGAGCGAGGGACTGGTGGACTTCAGTTTCCAAAGCAATGCTGGGAAGGAGGCTCAAATCCTGGTCCCAGGGCCAGGAATTCCTGTTGGCAACCCAACGTGCCATCCTGCCTCCTCCTGGAAGGTGGACAGTGAGCCAAGCATTCCTTGCAGCTCGCCCCGTAGGAGTTGCTCGATCCCTAGGGAGACATCTTACTCACTTAGAGGGTATGTGTCCACTTGAGCGGGGGCGGGAAGCAGAAGAGATGGATTCCCCCAAAACACACAGCCGGTGGAGATGAGAGGCCCAGTGAGCCTGGGACAACCCCCTCCCCGAAATGAGAGCCCCCCCACCAAGGATTTTGAGAATTCATTCCTTATCCCCTCAGAGAAATCTGGCCCCTGAACCTGGGAGGCCCCCAACCAGTTTCAATTCAGTGACAACAGAGTCAGTGTTTACTTGGAACAAAGCGTCATGGGGAAATGAAAGATGAATCAGAACTGGGCCAGCCCCCTCAGCCTGGTGGGAACACTAGAACATGTATACACATCTTCTAGGGAGAATGGCCCAGGGCCAGCCGAGAGGCCCAGAGGAAAGGCCTGGGTGTGAAGATCTGAATCCTGGAAGGCTTTCTGGAGGAGATGGTGTTTGAGCTGAGCCTTGAAGAATGTGTGAGAATGTCTTAGGTTTCAGGGAGGGGCCTGGGGGCAGGCATTCTAGGTGGGGACAACTGCCCACGCAGGGGAAGAAGGGCGAGCAGTGGGCCGCAGGGGGCTGCTGGGTGGCTGGCAGGACACAGAGAGCACCCACTGCAAGGCAGGTGGGGGAGCCACTGTGCATGAAGGCGGTGACAGGGGAGACACCCGTGACAAGCACAGGCGTAGCCCGCCTGGGCTCTGAGCCCGAGGGAGAGGTGGGCACCCACCAGGAAGCCAACCGAGGCAGGGCTCAGCCGGCAGTGGGAGAGCAGAAGCGGGGGACAGACCGGGAACCGAGAGAATCGCTCAAATCTCTGGTCCCAGCACCACGGCCACAATCGGTCCCCTGTGGCTCTCTAGGAAGAGTGGTCAACGACACCAGGTCACTCTCTGAGGCAGGTCACTGGCCCTGCCCTCTCTTACCTGGCTCTTGGGTGGGGCCCAGACTCACTTCATGCACAGCAGAGGGGGCTGCGCTGCAGTGGCCTATCCAGAGAGAGGGTCTCAGATGGAAGCAAGGCCCTTCACTCCTGCGCACCTCGCTCAGCCTCAACGTGAAATGGAGAGAAGGAGCTTTGGGCCCCTTTCCTCTGCTGGGAGTTAAACATTTATTGCTTGTTATGATTAAGCTAACATGTATTTACCATCACTGCATGCCAACACTGGGCAGTTTATGTCATCCTCACGATGACCCCCTGTGACAAAGGACGTGGTGTTCTCCACCCCCAACCCCCTCCACAGAGAGTCTAAGAGGCAGAGAGAGGGTGGGTTTCTTGACTAAGATCACACAGCGCACCGCAGTAAGGGACACGCTTAGCCAACACAACACTGTCCCTCCCTGTAGGCAGAGCGGGGCTGGAGCAGAACAGCATTCCTCGGACTTTGAAAAGAAAGATCCAGCCCCACAGCCATAAGTCATCATGGATATCAGTGTCCACCACAGTACAGGGGAGGGGCTGAGAGGCACAGAACTCGGCCTGGCTCTTCCGCTCACTCAGGACTGGGCAAGACCTCCCACCCCAACCCCCTGTGAGGAGTCCCTCCCTCCACCGCAGCAACCAGGCAGCTTTCTCCTCCAAGGCTGCCTGTGGGTGTGGGGTCTTGAGGCCTGCATGGCTCTGGTCCTGACTCAGCGCCAGCGTCCCCTGTGACTTGGCCTTCCCACCCCTCCAGGCCCCACTTGGCTTCTCTGAGAAGGGAGAAGTGGACCAGCTGACCTCCAGGACCCCTGCAGCTGGGCCCTCGTAGGATGCAGACAATCGGCTCGTTCTTCGTTCTTCAGTGACTGGGCGAACGGGGAGGCAGCTAGCGAGTATGAAGACATTCCGACTTCGCTGCTCTTGGGAAACCCCAGATGGAATTTGGCGCGGAATCTAGAGGGACCCACGGACTGCCTGAGGCCTCCGGGCCTCCCCTCCCGCGTGCCTAAGCACACACGTACGCGCATACACACACTTCCTTCCTGTGGCCGGATTGTCAAACAGAAGATGGTGTCCCTGTGCAGGAACTCCCTGCCTCCTGACAAGAATGTCCCCTGTCTCCTCGGCCTGGGGCCCCATTGTGCCCCCCACCCCGACCTCACCCATCAAGAATGCTGGGGCCCTGGGAGCCACGATGGATGTTGACAGTGAGGTTTGGTGTTCTTGGGCTGACTGAGCTGGGACCACCCAACTCCGGGTCCTTCACCCTGTCCCCAACTGCAGGAAGGTGCAGAGAAAGGCAGGTTGGTGTCATGAAAAAAAAACAACTGGGGACCAAGAGGCAGGTGCCAGGGGCCCTCTGGACTCTGCCCCATGAGCCTCCCTCTCCCACTGGGGAGATGTGGGAGAGGGCATGGAGTAGCTGTTCTCAAATGTCTGCGTCTATGACATTTTTAGGAACATAGGTAGGGTTGCCAGGTTTAACAAATAAAAATACATGACACCTAGTTACATTTGAATTCCAGATAAGCAACACATAAATTTTAGTATAAGTATGTTCCAAATATTGCATGGGAATATTTAGTATATTCATACTAAAACATTATTCAGTTTATCTGAAACTCCAGGCTAACTGGGCATCCTGTATTTTGTCTGGCAACGGACAACAGATCTGTGTCAGGTGGGTGCCAGAGAGCCCGAGGGGAGTAAGGCCAGCCTCCTGCCCTCCGCCTGCCCCTCCTCAGGGCCCTGGCACCTGCCTGGTCCCTTGACCTTGTCAGTCCTCCCAAGCTTTCCACGTCCACCCCTCAAACTCCTCCATCCCCTTCCCAGCTCTGTCATTTCACTCCCCAAGATACCCTCTGCCCTTAAGCTCACCCATCTTCCTCTCCCCTAAAGGCCACGCCTCTGTAGGACTGCAGGTCTGCTCAGGGTGGCAGGGGATCCCAGCCATGGGTGTTGGTGCGACAGGGCAGGGGCAGGAGGGATGCCCAAGTCAGCAGCAGCCTCACCAAGGAGACAGCAGTGTGGGTGTTGCTGGGAGAAGTTTCCAGCACTCTCTGTTTTAGGACCCCCTTGGGAGAAGGGCCAGCTGGGGCCAGAGCCAGCTGCTTGGGCAGGAGGGAAGAGATGCCCATGACCTCCTCCAAACTCAGAGTCACCAGGAACTGGACATAGAGGCCATTTTGTGCAGCCAGACACTGATTTCACTTGGATCAGAAGAATGGAAGATTCTGTCCTTAGGGGCAAAAAAAGGGCCAACAGATAATGAGAAACAGAGACCAGGAAAGAGGGACAGAGAGAGACCAGGGAGTCGGTGAGAAATACAGTCAGGGAGACACAGGACCAAATCAGAGACAAAGGAAACAGAAACACAGAGAGAGAAACAGACTCCAAGGGAGACAGTGATTCACAACAGAGAAGGGAAAACAAGCAAACACGCAGATGGAGAGGAACCGCGTGGACACAGCGATGGGGAGAACAAACAGGAGGACGGACCGGGAGGAATGGGGAGAGACAAGGAGAGGTTACACAAGCCAGAGACGAAGACAGAGATAAACAGAAAGCGGTGAGAGAAAAAGAAAAGACAGCCAGAGGAGGAAGTCTGTCCATCCCTACTAAGTCGGGGATCTTTTTCAGTGGCAAAGTCAGATTTGAGACGCGGCAAGAGACGCCTAACCAGCTGGTTGCTGAGCCTCTCCGGGAGCCCTCCTCCCCCGTCTCCCCGGGCCGGGAGCAGCACCCCCACCCACCATCTCCCCTGCGTCCCCTCCCCAGGGGTCCGGGCTCCATCTCTCCAGCCCCGGCACGGGGCCCACACGTCTCCTCTGTGTTTGGGCATCTGGCTCTCGCCCGGCGCCTATGGCCCCCCCGAGGCGGCCTTCCACCCCGCGCACCAGCCAGCTGCCCCCGCGCCCGCGAGCCGGAGCGCGGTGAGACCCGGCCCCAGGTCCCATCGGCGCGCCGCCCGGCTCCGTGGGAATCCGGCGTTGGGCGATGCTGCCACCTGCCGGCCGGACCCGAGAAGCACAGCGCGCCTGGAGGGCTGGGGCGCGGCCGCCGAGGGTCGGAATCCGGCCCTCCCAGCTGGGACCGCCTCCGCGGGGTCTTTCCAGGAATCCGGATGGGCCTGCTCGGCGGCTCCCCTGCTCGCCTAGCTTCCGCTTTTCCCCCAGCTGCCGAGCCAGGGGGCAAGTCTCTGAACCCTGGGCCTTAATTTCCCCTAGAGTCAAATGGAGGCAGTGTACCAACACATCCTCCCAGGATTGCAGGGGACCCTCGGGGGACACGGATGTACTAATGCTGTGCTCCTGAAATCAACCAGGTCGCCGGTCCCTCTCTTCTTGGCCAAAAAAAAAAAAAAAAAGGGGGGCCCCCCCCCCCGCCGCCACCCACCGTACAATGCCCTCAATCCACTCCCGGGCCTCCGCCTCCCTCTCCCTCAACCACTGTCCCCCGCAAGCCCAGATGGGAAGGGGCTTGCAATGGGCGGCTCGCTCTGCCCGCATCCTTTCCCTCAGCGCCCCCCCACCCCATCCCCGGCCCGGCGCAGCACTGCCCCTCTCAAGCCCGGGGCCACCTAAGGGTGGAGGAGCGGGGACGGGCAAGGAGTAGCTCTAGACCCGACCCCACATTTTTTTTTTTTTTTACCAGTTAATCTCTTCTACCTCCCAACTCCCTTGACCCAACCCCGATCTTTTCCCCTCTCCTCCCCTCTCCTCCCCACCCCCTTCCTGCCCCAAGTCCAGCCCTTCGCGGGTGCATAAGCTCCGCCCCCATCCCGAGGCGGGGCCCCATAGGTGGAGAGACGTGGGAGAGGTCGCGGCCCCGCCTCTCCCCTCCTCCCCCTACACACGGAAGCTCCTTGGCCCCCGTGCCAGGATGTCCGACACCTGGGTCCCCGGCCTCATACCCACCTTGCTGCTCGGCCTGCTGGCCGGCCCCCAACAGGTGAGCGCTTGGGAGGTAAAGCTATAGAACTTTCAGGGCCCTACCCTTGTGGGTCAGGGGCCTACTACTGGAGCTCGGTCACCACCTTCCATTGTCAGGATTTCCTCGTGACCGTACGCAATTAGCGACTTCCTTTCTCTTTTTGCCGGGGAGGTGGGGGCGGCGGAGGGAGGCCCTGAGAAGGCCTGGGTTCTTACGCCTGCGGGGGGGGTGGAACCTTGTAGGGACCCGGCCCCCGCCCACCACCCTCTGACACCTAGTGCCTCTCGGTGAGTGGGGACTTTGACCCTATTAGCCTGAGCTCGTCCTTCCCGCTTCTTCCCGCTGCGTCAGAAAGCGGGGACTAGCGGGGACTGAGGGCTGGACGCCTGGCCAGGCTGTCACCCTAACTCTGTTTCTCCAGTGCTGGGTGACCTTGGAGGAAGCACAGGCCCTCTCTGGGACTGTGTCTCAGCTTGTGCCTTAGGGGAGAGAAGGCTCCTTTCACCCCTCCTGGGAGTGGGAGTGGGATTCCAGCCTGTGCAGGATTTGATCTGGCTGCTTGACCCAAGGCTGGGTTGACCTCTGAGGTCCATGATTCTCACCGGGGCCCAGGGTTTATGCGCCCCCTCATTCCTCCCGTTCCTCCATTAAACTCTGAAAATGTTGGGGGAGATCTGTCCAGTCCTGGGATGGGAGATCATGCTGGCAACTCACATGGGCCTGGAACAGGGATTTTTCAGTTTAAGAGTGCGACATCCCGGGGCCCCTCCCCAGAACAGGGCACAGTCACACGACTGTGTTGCCTCGCGGGACTCTGCCCCCGAAGCCTTGGCGCTACTCCTCAGCCACTAGGCAAGCCAGTGGTGCCGGCACTAAGCTGAGCATCCTCTTGATTTCTCCCAGCAACGTCGGGCGGCAGGTGCTGATATGTCCCCATCTCAGCTGATATGGCAGGGTCAGTAAGCTGCGGTTCTCCATGACCCCTCGGACGCTCAATAAAACTCAGACTGAGCCACCTCTGACAAGACCACCCCCCAGGTTAAAGCGGGGGGAGAGAATTTTGGAGATCAACCCTCCCAAACAGCACAACTCAGGATTAATTTATTAAAGCTGTTCGTTTTCAGCCCTCCTTAGTTGGGGGCCTGGAGAGCGGGGAGAGACGGGGTCTGGAATCTGGAGGGGGAAGAGGGTGCCCCTGAGTGCCTGGACCCCTCGGTCTGTCCCCATCTCTGCAGGTGCCTCTATGTGCTGTGAAGCTCCCACCCTTGCCGGGCCGGCTTTTGGGAGTTGATTCCTGCTCTAGTCCCCAGGGGCCAAGGCTTGTGGCGGGGAGGCTTCCGGGTGGAGCTGAATCAGCCCACCTGTTATTGGCTGTCTTTGTAGGTTTTCTTGGCTTTACTGTTGTTAGTAGTTGAAAGGTGATTGAGTTACTTCAGGTAAAGGTATGAAGACGTGGTAGTCTTGCCAAAGCTGGCATCTTATTCTTAGGCCACCGTTGTTCGTCCCCCGAGGCTGGGGCGGAGTGACAGGTGACCTCCCATTCCCTCCCGTGTTCCCACCCCTGCATTCCCCACCCCAGACCCCTCACCCCACAGTCTGGGAGGAAATGAAACCGGGTAATCAGCGAATGCTCTTTCATTCATTCTGCCAATATTGTGGTTGGGTTTTTCACCAGTGATGACAGATAAAAATGCCTGCCTTCCTGGAGTTTACATTCTTCTGATGAGACAGACAATGAACAAGACAAAGGGAAACATACAGTATGCTAGATGTGGGTAGGAGCTGCAGAAAAGCGTGGTGAGGGGCGCTGTGGGGGAGTAGATGTCGTTCCCAGTAAGATGGGCAGAGGGAGAGGGGCGGGCGCCAGCCTTGCAGATACCTGGGGTAAGCATGTTCCAAGCGGGGCTTATACACATCATTGCTATTCATCCCGTTAAGTTCTGGACCAATACCCTAGATTCCCTGCAGAACTGGTACAGTAGAGGAAGGGAGGGAAGGAGAAGCTGGGCCCGGAGAGGAGAGTCTGGGTGGCTTCCAAGAGCAAGGAACGCCCCCATCCCACCCCAGGCAGAGATCTGAAAGATGAATGGGGATTTGCAGACCCTGAAGGATGAAGGCAGGAGGAAGAGGGCCTGCCCTTGCACGCAGGTGTAAAACAGCCAGGAGTTTTCAGGGAACTCCCAGGGGGTGCGTGTGCAAGAGGGCAAGGGGGGGCAGAGGCTGGTCGCTGGGGGTCCAGGCACCAGGGAGCCACTGAAGGGGGCCTCCAACGAATTTTTGGATGGTCAGATTTGCTGGATAGGAACTTGCCCGTGGTATGGGGAGTGATTGGGATGAGCAGGAGAGAGTTGCTGGTGTCCCTGATTGTAGGTGAGGCATGGAAGGGAGATAGACCGGAGGGGTGGTCAGAAGCGTGAGCTTACAGGTCTGGGGGTGAGCTGGTGTGCGGAGAGAAAGGAAAGCGGGGGGCGCCCGGTGTGTCAGCTGGGGCTCCGGTCACAGACCTGGAGTGAGGTGGAGAGCAGGCCCAGGGGAGGATGCCGAGCCATTGGGAACCCGCTGCACGCTCTCAGGTACCGGGGCAGCAGGTGGGTGGAGATGCCGCCCCCTGGTTTGTGACCCCCCCTAACCTCTACCTCTTTTCTTCCACAGGCTGCAGCCAAATGTGGACTCTTCTTGTAAGTCTGGGATTTGGGCTATAACGTCCAGTCTGGGGAGGAGACACCCCAAATCCTTCCCTGTCTGCCTTCATGGGGGGGGTGCAGAAAGTCACCTCCGCCTTTCTAGGGAAGAGGGTTTCCCACTCCCCCACTCCCCGCCCACTTCCTCCAGCCAAGCTGGACGGAGTCGCACTTGTGGGCGTGTCTGAAGTCTAATCCCCGCCCCTCTTTCGGCCCTCTGGGTCTCAGGCTGTCTCTCCTCCGAGGGTATCCCCCCCCCGGGGGGTGGGGCGGGCAAACCGGCTGTGGCGATCCTAATATATAAATGCCAAAAGGCCTGAGCGCAATGAGGAGGGGCTGGGGGGGGCGGTGGTCCTGAGCAGATGAACATTTCCATCAAGTCAGCCCTGCATGTTCCAGGAACACCCTCTCCTTCCCACCTCTTAGTCCACGGGCACCAGCCAGGGGCCCCTCGAGTTAGCTCCCACTGCTCCCCTCCCTGTCCATCTCCTTGGAGGGCTCTTGCAGCCGCTACGACATGCCGCCCCACACCTGCCCAGTGAAGTCGACAGGACATTCACTACACCCATTTCATAGATAAGGAGAGTGAGACCCAGAAAGGAGTGTAACTTGGCACAAGTAGTGCGATGAGCCTAGAATCCAGCTCCTGGGTCCCAGCCCCAGCTCGCCCACAGGGCCCAAGGAGGGTCCCTACACCCCACCCTGCTGGGCCGTGGCTCCTGCCCTGAGGATATGCGTGAGTTGTGGGGAGGCTGGGATCTTCTTGCCACCTTGGTACCAACAGCCCCTCTTTGCCCCCATCCCCCACCCCCAGCACCTGCCCCAAAGGATTCAAATGCTGTGGTGACGACTGCTGCCAAGAATATGAGCTATTCTCCAGTCCCCTGAGGTGAGCCCAGGGCCGGCTCGTCCGGCACGCTCCCCACTTGTCGGGGGGCACCGGGACTTGCTGCCCGAGGGGCGGTCTAGGTTGGGGTGGGAGGGGCGGTGGGGACAGCCCAGGGACTCAGGGAGATGTCGGTGGTTCCTCACCCAGGATCTTCGTCATCACCTTCCTCATCATTCTGCCCCTTTTGTGCGTCTGCTGCCTGGCTAAGCGGTTCTGTCGCAGCTGTGGAGAACAGGAGCAGGGCCCCCCAGTGGATCACCAGGGGCCCCCGGAGCCACCCTCCATTGCCCCCCCAGAGAGGGTCACGACGCCCACCTCTGAGCCCCCGCCCCCCTACAGCGAGGTGGGTGTCTCTGTCCCACTTCTTGCTCTGTTCCTTAGCCGGCCCTACCTCCCTATTGTCCAGATTTTTAGAGCGACAGGTAACAGCGAGGCCCTCCTTACACCAGGTCTCCAGACCTAGAGAGGGCTCTGCGGCCACCATCGGGTCGTCCCTCTCCAGCCAGCACTTGGGTGGTGATGGCTGGTGCCGAGCCCTGAAAAGCCTCCATGTCCCCTCTTTTCCCTGCAGATTATTCTGAAGCCTGTCCTGCCCCCCATGGAGCCACCCCCTCCCTACAGCTTCAGTCCTGAAGAATATGCTGGGGTGCACCGACAACCCAGGGGCATCGACAACCCAGCCTTCTGAGCCCCCGCCTGCCTGCAACTGCAGTGTCAGCCCCTCCTCTCCAACGCCGCCTCCATTAAGCCAGAGACTCTTGGGACCCCTGTGATGCCCCCACCCATCCTGCCATGTCTTGGGCTGTTCTTGGTTTTAACTTATTGCTTTTCCTGTCCCGGTTCCACTTCAGTTGCTCTCGTCCCGAGGGCTGGTCTGGAGGGTCAGCGTCCTCCCATCCCCACCCCATCCCACGTCAGAAGCTGCCAGGAGGGACATGTGAACACCTGAGGTGCCTGACGGTGGAATGGGCTCCTCTGAGAACCCTGTTTCTGTGGGGTATACACCTCTTGCCTGGACAGCCAGCTCCGAGATATTCTAGAGAGCACTCCTGTTCTGTGGGAGATTGGACTGCATGGGCTCCGAGGTCTACCTGAATAGAGAAGACCCCATTGTACCCCTCCACACACATGTGTCCTCACTAAATTTTAACTGATTGTCACTTGAGAGTCTGCCTCTGGCTGTGTGGGGAGGTAATGGGGGAGTGAGCCCAGGTGCTGCTGGGGCACGGGGCGGGGCGGGTGGCGGGGGTAGGTCACTGCACCCAAAATCCCACCATTGATGTGTTGATGATGAGCCCGGGCAGACGGTACATCTGTGAACCACCGTCTGGGAGAGAATCTTTGCAGATACTTTGACCCAGACTCAGGGCTCAGGGTGCTAAAGAGCCTGGACGGGGGACCGGGGATGGTGTGAGAGTGACTGTTCTTTTCTTCCCCATCCCACTCTCCCACTGCTCTGCCCAGGGGATGTGGAGCTCAGCTCCCTGCCTTTCTCACCATGGCGTTGGGAAGGGGGCAGAGGAGAGCGGTGTGGGGGAGGCTGGCCATCAAGGGGGCAGGACCTCCGGAGACCTTGATCTGCCCCACCCTGGAGTCTCCTGGAGGGAGGAGAGGAAAGGGTAAATTCTCCCTACTCTTCCAGCCCCTTCTGGTTCTGGGCACTCCCACCTGAGCTCATCTGTGGGGTTAACCCCTAAGAGGAAAGAGGCATTCACCGTTGCATCACGGGAGAGCGTCTTCGTGGGGGCATCAGTCCCATGTGGCCTGCAGCAAAGTGTGGAGCTGGGGGACTTGCGTGGGGAATGCAGAGAGACCCCCCACCATGCTGGTGTCTCGGGGCTCAGGCAGGGTTGGGCTTCTCCACCATGACCCTGCCTTTGCCCTGCTCCCCTGCAGCCCATGGATGCCACCAGCCCAGCCTTCCTCCCCAGACACGGGGCACAGCAACAACACGGGCCAAAGCTCTTGGGAAGATCAGAGGTAGGACTGGCCCTCTGTGCGGGTGTGGATGCCTCCTCCAGTGCTCTCTCAATAATACCCAGCCTTAGAGTGTCACAACCCAGGCAGGTGGCAGGGCCAGGGGCAGGGAAATGGCACAGCCAGCCCCGAAGATGCTAGGAACAGGGGCTGCCTGGCTGGGTCTGGGGACAGAGCTCCAGAGGAGCAACAGTAGTTAGGGACAATATCATGTCGGAGTTGGCAGTTAGGAGAATGAGCACAGTCACGAGAAGTTTCCCTTGAGTTTCAGGGATTGATCTAGGGGAGCAGAAGGAAGATAGGTCTGCCTTGTGCAAATGTGGCTGTCCCTAGGTAGAGAAGTCCCAGGGCTGACGCTGCCCTCGCTGGGGAAACACCCACCTGAGTGGGAGGACGTTAAGCAATGGGCTTTGCAGACCCGGAGGAGGATCCCCTTCAGCTTGGATGCTGCCTTCTTTTCATCAAAGATGGCACGAGGCTTTTCAGCCCCCCCAGCAGCAGCAGAGTGGTCTGAGAAATAGTCAGTGGTCATCCTGAAACCCAGCATTGCTGGGACCTGGTGGCAGACACCGCCAGTTCTAGGTCTCTCTGCTTGTTGTTGGTGGGAGGGGAAATAGTGTGACCCTGGAGGGCAATCTAGCAGCATCCTTTCCCGCCACGGATTGTTATAAAGCTCCTACTATGTGTTGGGCACTCTGCCTGGCACTGGGTAGCCGTTCAAATTGAAAATGTACATGACCCAGCCGTTCCACTTCTGGGAATGAGCCTTCAGAAAAGCTCAGACAGAGGAACTCAGAAAGATGTCCATTGCAGCATTGTAGGTGGGGGGGGGGTGTAAATCAAAACACCCTACATGTCCGTTGACGGGAGCCAATTAATATGCCAGGTCCATCCATAGTGTGAATGCAGTGCAGCCTTTAAAAAGGATGAAGAAGATCTGCAGCACCAACCTGTCACAACGCTCATCACTTGCTGTCACAGAGAAAATGCAAGTTGCAGAATAATAGTTTATGATCTCAATTTGTAAATATATACTTGATCATGCATATTTATATACATATATATTTTTCCTTTGCAAATGTATAGAAAAGATCTAGAAAGATACGAACCAAACCACACCCACTGCCCCACTTCTAACAGTGGTTGGCACTGTGGGATGGAGGGATGGAGGTACCCAATTGTAAGGGAGGTTTTTTACTCGGTATGCTTTGTATTTTTTTTACAATAAGCAAGCATTGCTTCCTTGAATCAAAAAAAAAAATTCTTCAGTGGAAATAGAGGCAGCTTTAGAAGTTTATGAAGACTCTCCTTGTGGACTTTGATCGACAGCCGTTCATATATTCATATATAGCCCTGCTATGAGGGAGAGGCGAGAAGGGCTCCAACATTTGGCACACATATGACATAGGCAGTCAGGGACGAGATCGGCAGCGGGCGGGGGAAAGCCTGGACACCTGCCAGACGTTTGACGACATGTGATGCCCACATGTTAGCCGATGCAGCTCTGTGACTGGCAGGCACTCCGGGTGTCTGGCTGGTTGGTTGGGTGGATGAGCAATTTCACGGTGACTGAGAACGCATCCTTTGCACTTGGCTTAACAGCTTGAACCTAGTGAAAAGAATCCCTGAATGAATGAATGAATGAACGAACAAACGAACGAACGAACGAACGAATGGCGAATGATTAACTGAGTGGGAGACCGAATGACAGAACGAGTGTGCAGATCTGCCACCGGGCGTTTGTAAGGACCTGTGGGTGTGGTTAACAACAAGAAGGCGCTCCCTGTGGCTGTGGGCTTCTGTCTGCAGGAGACTCTCCCCAGAGGAGGGGGAGTGCAGGGGAAAGCTATGGGGCAGGGGGCAGGCTGGGGGGTGGGGGGGAGGGATGACACCAACAAGAATCTCCCCTCACTCTGGGGCTGAGATTCGTAACTCTGGCTTCCGACCTGGAAGTTTCTGCACCTGGCATCTCCGGGTCTGTTTCTCTGTACAGTGAAGAGGTCCCCCCTTCCAGCTCTGGTAGGATGTAGCTCTCAGACTCCCACATGGGGATGGCTAAGGAGGTGAGAGAATTCAGGATCCCCCTTGACTGCAAGAGCCTTGCCTCCACCCCCATATCAGCCACACACTCCCGCGTGTCATCCCTCAAACCTCCCGCCCCCTGAACACCACCTCCTCTTCTTCCAGCTCAGACGCTGCATTAGCCCCATGGCAGCAATTCTCTGAGCCCAGGAGCCCTCCAAGGCTTAGCCCCCCTGCAGTGCCGTCCCCCACATCCTCACTGGCCTCCTTACCCAACCCGGAGTCCTTGATCCAGCCTGATCAGCACTGTCCTGGTTCTAACCCCTTGACCCCGTTCTCCATCCGTCGTTCTCACCCGGCAAAACCCCAGACTCTGGTTGGGTCCAGCTTTTGCTCAAGAAGCAGCACACCTATGCAGTTGAACTCACTTTAGAATCAAAACTGCAGATCCCAAGCGGGCCCTCAACTCCTCCAACACGCCTTCGAAGCTTCCCATCCTCACTCTTGAGATGACCAATTTATACCTTCTCCTCTCTTTGAATCTTCCACACTCCCAGCCTCAATTTCAGCTGGTGATGGTGCCACAGACTTCAGAGACCAAAATGGATACAGTCACAGGAGAACCACCTGACACCTGACATCCCCCCTCGGGGCTCCACCCCTCGTACCCTCTCAGGACCTGGTTCCCGAAGTGATGCTGCATCAGCCATGTCTCCCTCATGAGTGGACCTTTGTCATTATCCTCTGGGCACAAGTACGCCTCACTGCCCATCTTAGAGAAGCCCTGCCCCGATACTCTCATTCCCGGGCCTGCTGTTCCATGCCCCTCCCCTCCCCCATTCCCATCCCATACTGCTCCAGCCAGCCCTTTGTCCCCATCATTGACCCGCAGTGACTCTTGTCCACATCACCACTGACCTACATTTTGCCGAAGTCAAAAGTCAATTCTCTAGCCTCATGTACTCCGTCTGTCCGTGACATCTGACACACTTGGTTGCTTCCTCCTTCTGGAAAAACTTTCTTTCCCAGACTTTCCTGACACCCCCCTCCCTGGGTTTCCTCCTACTCGCCCACAGCTCCCTCTCGGGCCCCTTCGCTTTCCCCACCTTCCTCCACCTTCTTTGAAGGATAGTTGGCGTGAGGGACCCAAGTTGACTTTGGCTCCGTTCTTAGCTTCACTCCCTCCCATAGTGGCTCTCATCCGGTTCTGTGCCTTCAGAGACCATCTACTGTCCAACAGATCTCAAATCTTTAACTCTGGCCAAGGCTTCTCCCTTGAACTGCAGACTTCTGTCTTTAACTTCCGTTCAACTACCTCCACTTGGACACCGAAGGAACACACCACAGCCACCGCTAGGTTCTAGCTTCCTTCCGCCCCGCCCCAAATCCGAGTCCTTCCCAAGCTGTCCCTCCCTAAATAGACAGATGGCAGCCGGCCCGCTGCTCAGGCCAAAAACCAGTGACTGTGACTTCCCTCCGTCTCTTACCCTCTCATCCTGCCTCTAAATTAGACCCATACGACTTTTCACCATCTCACCGTTCTAGCCCTAGACTGAGACTTGGTCAAGTCTAGCCTAGGCCATCCCAGTGACATTCCAGCTGGCGTCCTGCCTCCGCTGCTCTTGTGTCTGTCTTGCCCCTGCTGTTCATCCTACACACTGAAGTCAGGGAGATCTTCCTAAAGCCCAAATAGGACACGTCATTCCCCTGCTTGGAAGCCGCTGCTGGTTGCCCATTGCAGTCAGAATAAACTCCAAATCCCTGACTGTGGCCTTCAGGACCTACCAGGTGTGGCCCCTCTCACACCCTCCGAAATCACCTCTTCTCCCCTCCCTCCTCACTGCATTCCCTCTCTCTGAGCCTTGACTGTCCCAAATCAGCCTGGCCCAGGGCCTTTGATGGCCTTTCTGCTTGGAATTGTCCCCCTTCCTTCAGCCTCTCCCCTACTCTTCCCATGGCGGCCACCTTCTCATCATCTTCATTCCAGTTCAGCTGTCACCTTCTCCAAGAAGCCTTCCCTGACCACCGCACTCTATTACACTCACAGCGCCCCATTCTCCTCCTTACCGTGCTTCGCAGTACTGGGAAGCCTCTTATTTTTCTGTGTGCCTATGTGTTCACAGTCTGTTTCCCCTCTCTGGACCC